CATCCTGCTTGTATGAAAGGCTGATCTTTCCATCGGTCTTTGAAAGAAGATTGAAGTTAATGAAGTTGTTCTTGTGGAATGACTTCTAGCTGGGGGCACCTCTTGGACTTTGCCCATATGGTGCAGAGGGCAAGTACTAATGAAATCAGTGACTTCTGACAGCATCTAGTGGGTTAGAGACCCCTTTATGGGATAGACGTTCTTATAAGCCATGAGGTGATCACCAGGGCTGATTAGGAAGAAGTTTTAAGAAAATAGGAAAAGAGTTGCAGAGCCCCGCCGAGGAGTTTCCCCCATTGTGGCAGTACACCTGCTCATTCTTTCAGGGGTGTCAGGGTTACCTCTGAGAAGTTTGTGAACAAGCCTTACCCCCTTCACTCTCCAGCCAGCCCTCATCTTGCCCCTTCAGACTTCTTGTGGTTTCCAAAACTCAAATAACATTTCAAAGAATTGGATTTGAGTCTCTCAAGGATGTCTAAATGGCCTTTTTTAAAGAAAAAATTTTTTTCCAATACCATTTTATTGGGAGCTAATACAGATATCATATCATTTCTTGGTTCAATCACATCTGGCAATTTTGTACAATTGCTGCCACAATCAGTTTGAAAACATTCTGTTCCATCTTGAACTCCTTGATATGAGTTCCTTTAACCCTCCTCCCCCACTGCAACACCCCTCCCCGCCCCCTGCCACCCCGCAATCCTTATTCTACTTGCTATTTCTATAGATTAATCAATCCTGGGTTTCATATGCCAAAAAACAGAAAAAACATATAACCCAAACTGAAGAGGGTTACTCCCAATGATAAAACATATCTGAGATAAACCCCAATATGACAAAGAATGGCTGTGGCAATGTGTAGTAAATGGAAGAGCATCAAATTCATAGGGCAAGGTTAGAGAGGCAGAAGCAGTGCTTCCCAGAGCGTACGGTCCTAGGTGGAGGAGATAGCAAGACATAATAGCTTTATCTGTGATATTTTTGTTTAATAAAGATGTCATGGGCTTGTAGCAATACTTTTTAAACTTATAGAATTATGATGCTAATTGCAATAGTTAACTATGCATGGCTACCACTATGCTGTGGACTATCCAAGACAAATATTAGTTCTTTGGGGTCCAAATATTCAGGATTTTTTTTTTACCAAACTAAAGCATTTTCCAAATCATACATCAGTATTTTAGTTCATTCTAAAGAGTCAATGCTTTCCTCATTTTAGATAAGATGGAGCGTAATGTAGGGATCAGATGTTTAATAACATGAGTCTTTTCTTGCTCAGAGAACATGCTCAGAAGTTAGAGTTTCTCTCATTGCCCCAAGCAGACTTTTGAGTGCCCATAACGGCATATCAGGCAGTAAAGCTTTGGAAACGGTTGAAAGTCCTTTTTGTAGATAAGTTAGCTAGTGGGCAGTCCTATATTTGGCCCCAAATCCCAAGCACCAAAATAAAAGGTGACTACAAAAGATGAGGCTGGATCACCGTAGAATGAGCATTTCCAGGGGAAATGGTTTATTAATATCCTGATCTTTTATGTGGCTCCATTGTTACCATTGTTGTAAGAGGCCTAATCTTCCAACACAACTTATTCTTTAAAAAAAAACAAATCATTTTATTGGTGGCTCTTACAACTGCTTTCACAATGCATCCGTCCATTGTGTCAAGCACATTTGTACATTTGTTGCCACCATCCTTTTCAAAACCTTTTCTTTCTACTTGAGCCCTTGGTATCAGCTCCTCTTTCTTTCCCCTTCTTCCCCACCTTCCCATCCTCTGAACCCTTGAAAGTATAAATTATTATTATTTTCATATCTTGCACCATCTGCTGTCTCCCTTCACCCACCTTTCTGTTGTTTGTAACCCTGGCGGGGTGGTGGTTATATGGAGATCATTGCGATTGTTTCCCCATTTCTCCCTTTTCTCCACCCACTTTCGCCCTACCTTCATGGTATCACTACTCCAATTATTGTTCTTGAGGGGTTTATCTGTCCTCAATTCCGTGTGTCGAGTTCTTATCTGCACCGATGTACATGCTCTGCTCTAGCTGGACTTGTAAGGTAAAACTGGGATCTTGATAGTTGGGAGTTGGCGGGGAGAAGCATTAAAGAACCATAGGAAGGCTGTATAAAATTTACTCTTAAAAGACTTGTTTTTATTGATAAGTCATATTTTAGTTTAAAAAATCTACCTAATCATTTTTGTAGGTTTACGCTTTGCTTGGACACGTGTATTTTAATGGCCTTCTTTTGCTCCTAAAATTGAGATGAACTCTTTGACAGCCAACGAGTCCCCATTATCAACTTAAGGAAGCAGGACTCTTTCTCAGCTTTCACTGCGGAAGGGAACCTTGTTTTGAAGAATCGCCCATCATCCAGTTGGAGAAAGATGCTGGGCGTTCTGTGAGTGTTGTGCACACTTTAATGAGAATAGGCCAAGGGTACTTTCGGATTGTTTGAGTGTGAGCAGAGGACTCACACATTGAACACTGGTATCTGAACAAAAGGCAAAAATAATTTCTAAACAACGAGAAAGCATGTGGTTGGGAACTTGTTTGAAATAACATTAAACGTTCCAGTTCTGCTTTTACTTAGCGTGTTGGAAGCCGCAAGAAAACACTGTCCCCACTTTAGCAATGAGAAAAAGATGGATAATGTGCAAAATCATATACTTTTAATCAGTGAACTGAGGTCTCATGGCAGCCAAGTGGTCTAAATCCCAAGGAGAGAGGAACATGTGCAACGTGTTCCCTTTGGCAGAGCACACGAGAGGGATCGGTGATGACCAAAGCTGATGGGGGCGGGGGGCGGGGGGGTGGGGCGGGGGGGCAGCCCCAAAATGAAACTAAAACTTTGTGAATTTTCAAAGGTCGAATATGGGCTAGTGTGGCCCCTTAAAATTCCTGGGAACATCAGACACGAAAACAGCCTGTACCCACTTGCCAACTCCTCCCCGTAAGGTCTCCACCGGGCATTTGAAAGCAGGGGAGCTCTCATGGCATAGCGTTTTGCACATGAGGCTGTTAAAACCTAAGGTCAAAATAACAGCCACTTTGCGGGGGAAAGATGAGGCTTTTTTCTCCCATAGAGAGTACACTCTCAGAACCACACAGGGGCAGGTCTACACTGTCTGTATTTGTCTGGGTACATTAGAGAAACAAATCCACAGAAACTCGTGTTTAAGAGAGCATTTTATATAAAGGGTAAGTACACAGCAAGAAAACATCCCAACCCAGTGCTGCCCAAGCCCACAAGTCCATTAACCCATATGTCTGACGCCAATCCACAAAGTCCTCCTCCATCTCACAAAACACACACTATGAAGCTGACTGCAGGAGGAAAGCCAAATCAGTGAGCATGTAAGCGTCTCAGTGCTAGCAGGTGTCTCCACAAGGCTGCTTCAGCACCCAGGGATGCATTGTGGTAGGTCCATGTGGCTTCTCCTCAGGGATGTCTTGCAGGAAGTGAGCCTTGCCAGCTGAAGCAGGGAACGGACAAAGACAGCTAAACCCTGGTCTGACCATCAGAAAGCAAGAGACCTGAGAACAAGAAAGGCAAGGCTTACCGAGCCATTTATCCTTCCACCCTTCAATTAATCCCACATGTGTTTATAGACCAGCTTGGCACAGTAAACTAACGACCTCACTGTCCTATGGGACCACCATGAATCGGAATCAACTTCCTGGCCAGGAGTGAGGTACTTAGCAGAGACAGGGCCAGGGCAGGACATTAAAGAGAGCACAAAGATATAGGTGGTGGTTGACTATCTTTGGCACAAAAATCCACCTCTGTTCCAGACCTGCTTTCACAAGATAAAAAGCTATCATAGCTGGAGCTTAGGCAGGACATTTGCCCAGGCATCTAGATGTAGTCCAAGATGGTCAGACATGGGGATAGGGTAGAAAACATCCCTTCCCAGACTGACAATGACACTAGATAAACATTATCTGTGCCTGGGGGAGAGTGGTTAGCCCACTCATGTCTAGGATGGGAACCTATATAAAACAGTGGTCTGTCTATCTGGAGAGGCCATTTGGACCATAGACCCACAGACTTGAGCACAAAGACCCACAAGCAATACAAGGTAGGGATTGGCTACCATGCCTAAGTAGAAGGGAGAGGATTCCTGAGAAAGCCCAACACCTCAGACTCAGGTATCTGAGGTCTTTGACAGACAGGCTGGACCAGGACCATCAAGAAGACCCCTTTTGGTCCCATCATGATCCTGGCTTGGAGTAATCAGTCTAAAGCTGTAACCAGAACACGGAGAGAAGCATCCTCTGTTGTACCGGTGTGAAAAGCCTACTGGAAACTAATGGTGGAACAGGAACACAGGAAAATCTTTCAGGCCCCAACCAGACTTAATCATAAACAGGCTAACTGCGATTCACACTGGAGAGATTTGAGGTCTTTGCTCTAATGAAGGTTATTGGAGTAACAGCAACAAAAGAGATCCAAACCAGTCTCAAAGATTGTAGATTAACTAAACTATCCTCAGGAATGACGACAGCAAAAGAGATGTGCCCATTTCAGACCTAAATTCAACGTACATCTATCTCTGCTGTACTTTTAAATATAAAGTCCCACATTTAATTAAAAAATTAAACAATACAACAGATAAAGGGGGGAAATGACCGCCCAAGAGAAAAGTACAGCGAGAATTCTCCTGAGAACAGAGACTGGTGAGACTTTATCTCACATTCCTTGGACACATTTATCAGGAGAAATTAGCCCTTGGAAAAGGCCTTCATGCTTTGACAGAGAGTCTGTGAGAAGGAGGAAGACCCTCAGTGGAATAGACTGACATGGGCCGCAACAATGGGATCCACGATAAAACAATTGTGAGCATGGGGCAGGATGCTTCTGCTGCACACTGGTTTGCTACGAGTTGGAATTGACTCACAAGCCCCTACTAACAACAAGAGAAAAGCCAGTGAACAAAACCAAATGCAGAAAGAGCCCATGCGTTGGTATTGTCAGATAGGAACGTTAAAATTGCTAGAGCAGTACTTGCTTCAGCGGCACATATACTAAAATTGGAACGATACAGAGAAGATTATCATGGCCCCTGCACAGGGATGACATGCAAATTCATGAAGCGTTCCATATTTAAAAAGAAAAAAAATTGCTAGAGCAGTGGTTCTCAACCTTCCTAATGCTGTGAGCCTTTAATACAACCAATTTAAGAGAACCTTCAGTCTCCATGCTTATCAGCAGACTGAACATAGCTGAGGAGTCAGTGAACTTGACTATAGGTCAATAGGACAATCTAACCTGAAACACAAAGATAAAAAAGGGGACTAGTAGATGGAGGGGCTGGGGATAAAAGGAGACCAGCTAAAAGCTGTCGGAGAATAACAGATACTCTAATATAATAACAAGCTCATCAAGATGCTATAGCAGCCCTAATAACATCTTGTAAATACAATAAAACTGGTAGAATTGAATGGGAACACAAACAAATTAGTAATACAACTTGGAGGTATTAGCATTCCTTTCGAAATAATTGATTGTAGGTATTAGAAATACCTACGTATAATTGGAAGTATTAGCATTCCTCTCCAAAGGAGGAGATAAAGATCTGTAAACATATCAAAGACTTGAATACAACTATCAACCACCCAGTCCAATACATTTGCATAGTTAATAAAGCCCAATGAATACCCTTCAGGTGTTCTCTGCTTGCAGTCTAGATTCATCTGACATCAGCAGGGATACCCCTCCTGGCATGTCCTCTTCTGTGTCCACCTTGAATTTCTGGCAGCTCCCTGTTGATGTACAGCTGCAGCCATTGTTGAATGATCGTCAGCAGAATTTTACTTGCGTGTGATATTAATAACAGCAACATCTTCACATAGATATGAGAAGGACATACCACCCCAAAGCAGCAGAATACAGTTTTTCAAGTGCCCATGGAACATTCGTCATGATAAATAGTAGTCATAAAATATATATTAATAAATCTCAAATAATTAAAATACTATAAACCATATCTATTTTTTAAGTCTAGTGGAATTAAATGATAAACAGCAGAAACATACTGGGAAATTAACAACTATTCAGAAATGAAACAGCACACTTTTAAATAACACAGAGCAAAGAAGTCACAACAAAATTATAAAGTATTTTTAACTGAATGAAAATGAATATATAGCAAACTCTCATTATTTGTGGTTGTTTGTTCCGTAAAGGTGCCATGAATACTGAGTTAGTGAATACAGATCCACTCTGAGGGGATATACAGGACTGGTTTCCGGTGAGCCTTTGGAAACTCTATTTGTACCAGCTGATCAATGTGTAACCTTCTTTTTACATGCGTTTTGGTTTAAAGGCACCTTAAATAATATTTGTATACATTATTTAATATATATTATTGATTCTTTAACATTTAACTCATGTCAACAGCACTGTAATTCAATAACACATGCCTATTCCCAGTATAATCACAAGAAAAATATCATAAAAATCCCAGTTGAAAGACTATGTACAAGACCTGCTCACTACACCTCAGAAGCTCTTGACATCATAAAAAATGGGCAAGACGGGTAGACTGTCATAACCTGGAGGAACACAAGGAGATGATGATTAAAAAAAACAAACATAATAGTTAAGGTTGTCTAGGATCCTGGAACTGGAAAGACATTAGATAAAACTAAGGAAATTAGAATAAAGTATGGACTTACGCAATAAAACTGTTTTGTACACAGTTAATGGTAATATCCTATGACATAATTTTCACTCGCCTCATGCATATATGAAAGCTGGACAATGAATAAGGTAGACCAAGGAAGAATGGATGACTTTGATTTATGGTCTTGTGAAGTATGCGCACCGTACCACGGACTTCCGGAAGAAGGAACAAATCTGTGTTGGAAGAAATACGAGCAGAAGTCTCCTTAGGAGCGAGGATGGTGAGATTTCCCCTCACCTCCTTTGGAAAGGGGATCGGGAGGGACGGCCACTGGGGAAGAATAGCATGCTTGGTGAAGTAGAGAGAGGGTCAGCGAGAAAGAGGAGGATCTTGAATGTGATGGACTGGCACCGCAATGGGCTCAAATGTGGAAACAGTGGAGAAGAGGGCGCAGGACTGGGCAGTGTTTTGTTCTGTTGCACATAGGTGGTCAGTGCTCATCAGAACCAACTCAGCAGCATCTAATATCAAGACTGATTTTTAAATTCCACCAAACTATTCTGATGTTAAATGTTAACTATGGGAAACTGGCTGTAGGGATATGGGTTTACAAAATTATATAAACCTTTTTCAGTAAATCTAAAGTGGTTTTAAAAGGTAAAGGTTATTTTCTAAAAAACATATTTCTAGGGAATGTATTTGAAATATATTGTTAAAACAATAAAAAGATAAACCAGATATAGGGAGAGAGTATTCACAAAGAACATATCGTACGAAGGACTAGTATCAAGAAGCAATTGCCTTGTCCATTTGCCCTTCCTGGGAATGGGAATACACTTTGTCAAGGCCATGTAACACTAATGCAAGAGAAAAAACCATCTTTATAAAGGAATGAACCTGCATTCATAATATTTAGCATTTCAGTAAACTCTCTAAATTGATATTTAAAGTATAGGTAGCTAGACGTTATAAGAGATATCACTTAACTTTTCCCTATGTTGTACCTTGGCATATGTAGCAGCTAGATTTTTTTTGTCCACTTGACCCCGTGTGAATGTGCAGGGATGGAGTTCCACCTATCAGTCAGGTCACAGTCTAATGATGCCTTCTTGGAGGTGTGTCCTTTTTCATAGCAAGACGATGAGGATCTTCTCCCTCCTTTCTCCTGACTTTAGACGTTCTCCATGCTGGAACTTCACGGAGACTCTGTGTCTGTCCCCCGGGGTGGACCCAGGTGGCAAGCTCACCTGCAGAGCTCTTGGTGCCTTGCCATGTCTCCACTGACCTTGGATGCACAGGACTCTGCTCCCACCGGCCTGTGATCTCCCTGTTTCCCTTTACATCACTAGCTTTGCAGCTATGTGAGTCTGAAGAGGACTCCGGTTAGCGTTGTGCTCATGGGCTTGAAATGGATTGGTCTGGGATGCCTTCTTAATACAGAATTACTTCTTGATATAAAGTTCCTGCTTAATAGATATGCATGTCACTGATTTTGTTGCTTTGGACAAGCCAGCCTAACACAGCACAGTCATGAGTCGCAAGTGAGAGGTCGAACAAGTCACAGCCATCTACTTTCTGAAGAGTAGTCAGGATCTTTACTGGGGCTGAACCATGAAGAGCACCTGGGCGGTACCTATGGCTAATGTGCTCAGCTGCTAACAGAGAGTCTGACAGTTTGAATCCACCCAGAGCCACCTCTGAGGACCAGCTGGTGATCTGAAAAATCAGTTGCTGCAATACCAATGGAACCCAGTTCTACTCTGACACACTGGGGTCGCCAATGGTTGGAATTGATTTGACTGGGAGCTGTTTACTGGTTTGAGCCAAGGTCATTGAACCGGCCCAGGTCGGAAACGGAGCAGGTCAAAACTCCTGTGCTGATCAGTACTGGGGCAGGCGGCCAGGTGGGACACAGTGGCCATTTTTAGGCGGCTCTTGATGGGTGGCCCGTACATTGTCTCATGCAGGCTTACCTGCTTTTGCTATGGCAGAGCTGGGCGTGTACAGTCATAAATTACTACAGGGACCAAACTGGCCAACTCCTTATGTCACAGTCTAATGAAGAGAGACCTATTTACTAGTCCATGCTGGGAGGCACTGGCTCCTCTTAGTACCCTTGAACGTGTTTGACAAATTCTTCTTCCTCGGCAGGATACAGCAGCTGATATACTTACATCCAGGCACACAACACTACCAAGGAGCCCAGCCTGCCTTGTGGAAAACTAGATGGTTTTATGGTGCTGATAAGATATCAATCTCTAAGCCAATCTTATGTTCCAATCTCCATTATCCTTGGATGGACCACCGAGATCACACCTTGTGGCTTTTTGACATTTGAACAGCATCACCTACATAGTGCACTCCTCAAATGGCCTGCAGTAAATGAATTCCTGGGGAGGAGATCTAGCATGATGAACTGTTGCACTTATGATAAAAGCATGAATATGGGCAGAGGGAACGGGGGTGGTGGTTCACAAGGGGAGGGCTATAACCTTAGGGTTTTATAGACTTAGTTTTGGTGCATTTTACAATTTAGTATTGTGTCTTAGAATATTACTAATTACTATAAGTTCATATTAATAGTACATTCACCAAGTGTTTATTGAACACTGAGCAGACACAAAGCTCTGTTACGTGAAGAATGCCAAAATAAGTAAATCATTAATTGTGTCCTAATAGAGGCATCTTATCTATCCTTCTGTGCACACGTGCACTTCAGTACATGTGTGCTTATGTTGCATATATACATATACTCTCATGTTTATGTGTGTGAGTGAGTTTGTATGTACTCATATACCCATGAAAGAGCCCTGATGGTGTAATAATAAGTTTTGAGTTGGGCTGCTTACCCCAAGGTCAGCTGATCTAGGGGAGGGAGATGAGACTTTCAGCTTCTGTAAAAATTTGTAGTCTCTGAAACCCACAGGGGCAGTTCTACCCTGTCCTCTAGGGGAGCTATGAATCAGAATAAACCAATGGCAGTGAATTTGGTTTCGGTTTATACCCATTTGTGCATGCATAGGTGTATATGTATGCATGTGAGTAAATGTGGCCAAGGGGCCTTTCCTAAATATTTGTCAGGAGAGACCAGCCCCTATCATTCTTGGCAGAATAGAGTGGCAGTGAACAAAAGAAGACCTCTTACCAGAGGGACTGACACAGTAGCTGCAGCAATGGGCTCAACTGTAAGGATTGTGGAAGGCGTAGCACCAGGAGGTGCTTTGAGTTGGAACCAACTCAGTGGCACCTAACACAACAATGATTCTAGTCTGTCTCTTCGATTCCTCTCTTTCCCTCCCCTCGAACCATCAGTCTGATATCCTTTGGTATGAAATATTTGTCCTGATTCTTTTTATAACCTTGATCTCATACAATATTTTTCGTTTGGCAATTACTTTTACTCGGCATGATTTCTCCAGGTCCCATGGCATATGGGAGTCCTGGCGGGCATAGGGGTTACTTCTGAGCTGCCAACAGCAAGG